GAGAGGGTGGATGGGCTGTGATTTTTTTCACTGGAGTGTAGGAGGTAGAGGGGTGACCTTTATAGAGGTTTATATAATCATGAGGGGTATAGATAAGGTGAAAGGCAGGTGTCTTTTTCGTAGTGTAGAGGCTTTCAAGACACAGGGGGCACATTTTCAAGGTGAGAGGAGAAAGGTTCAAAGAACAACGAGGGGCAATTTTTTTTTTTTTTGCACAGATTGGTTTGTGCGTGGAATGAACTTCCAGAGGAAGTCGTAGATGCGGGTGCAGTTACAATGTTTAAAAGACATTCACATAAGTACACGGATAAGAAATGTTTGGAGGGACACGGACCACGTGCAGGGAAGTGTGACTAGTTTAGTTTGGGATTCTGTTCGGCATGGACTGGTTGGACCGAAGGGTCTGTTGCCGTGCGTATGACTCTGCCTCTGTCTGTTTTGTACCTGTTGGTGTAACAGCGAGCCTGTTTCATAGAATAATTGGATGTAAGGTGTTTACTGATTAAATTAACAAATTGCTTCTACTCACTGGTGTTTGTTATTAACCTATGATTCAACTGTCACCTTTTCTAACTGCTGGATATTGCTTGGAAAAATCTTATTATTTAAAACAATTTTTTTTTTGAAAGCCTAGATCCTTTCTGTGAATTAATGGCCAGACAATCCTGTAATCTGATAATACTTAATCAAGGAAGAGATTTGGGCCTAGTCATTAATGGTGTGCAACCTTTGTGCTGGTCATGGGGTATGTCAAGAAGATCATTATAGGCACTTTCAATATGAATTGAAGGCTGTCAATGTTCTGTTAGGAATATACTTGAAATACTGCATATGGTTTAATTCTGAAATAATAGTCCTGGATAACTAGGTCTGGAAATAATGATGAGACTTGGGTGTCACAATATGATAGGATTGTTTGAAATAACGCAGACTTGACATGAAAATGGATAAGGTTTTTAAAATGTTGAGGTGATTGTATACAATTTGGGTAGGGTATTTGGAATTGATATGAATAATATGTCTAGTAGCTGTATCTGTAAATTGCTGAAGAAACCATTAGGTAGATACCAGAACTTCTCATTCTTTGGCACAAGTGATATGGTTTGTATAGTATTCCTACTGTACTTTTAAAAGAGACCGGAAATGCCATTTCTAGTTATAATGAGTAATTTTCAAGCTCGCTGTGATTGATAGGGAGATGAGAGAGATCTTGAAGTAGCTGCAGTTTTTTTTTCTAGTCTCTTTGGTGTTTCTTAGGTGTAAATGATAGGAGGTGAATCAGCAGCGTGTGAAGAGATGCTAATAACTAGATACGATAGGGCTTACCTAATGCATTTTATCCCTAAGAGCCCACCCTTTTGAGGGTATTATCTTGGCATGGATAGAGAATTGGATCATGGGCAGGATGCAGTCGGTTGGGATTAGGGGTTCTTTTTCAGGTTCGTGACCTGTGACAGTGATCACTGCTGGGACCACAGCTGTTTATAATGTATGTTAATAACTTGGAGGAAAGAAATGAATGTAGCCAGATTTGCAGACACTAGAATTAATGGAAAAGCAAATTGTGACAGGGGTATAACAGAGTGATATTAAGTAAGTGGGCAAAAAGTTGACAAATAGAGTAATCAGGAATGTTGGCCTTTATTTTGAGGTTAGAGTATGAGTATGATGTCTTGCTGTAACTGTACAAGGTGCTAGTGAGACCACATCTGGAGTAATGAGCAGTTTTGGTCATCTTATTTAAGGAAATATATTGTTTCATTGGAGGCAGTTCAAAGAAGGGTCAATACAATGATCTCTGGAATGAAGGGATTGTCTTATGAGCAAAGATTAAACATTTAGGGACTCTACTCATTGGAGTTTAGAAGAATGAGTGGTGATCTCATTGAAATATATAGGATTCTTAAGGCGTTTAACAAGATAAATGCCGAGATGATTTTTCCTGTCATGGAAGAGTCTCAGAATAAAGGGACGCCAATTTAAGACTGAGATGCAGAAGAATTTCTTCTCTTAGTGGGTTGAGAGTCTTTAGAACTCCTTGCCACAGAGGGCTGTGGGGACAGAGTTCTTGCTATTTTTAAGTTGAGATTGATGAATTTTTGATCAGTAAGAGACTCGAGAGTTCCAGGGAAGTGGCAGGAAAGTAGACTTGCAGAATATTGTAGTAGGCTCAAGGGACTGAACAGCCTACTCCTGTTCCAATTTCTTATAGTCTTCTGTCTGTATAAATGTTGAATTATTCATTCATAGTCTGTGGTTGTTGCTGAGAAGAGCAACATATATTGCCCACCCATAATTATTTTCAATAAGGTGGTAGGTAATTACTACCATGAATTGCCACAGATTGATGTGGTTTAAGTATTCCCATATGGTTTGTGATTGTAGTGTTTCTGGATTTTGGCCCAGTGGTGACAAAGGTGAATGATGATTTAGTGCCCAGGAAGATGAGAGGTTTGGAGGGGAATTTGCTCTTGATGTTTTGTTGTTTGTATACACCTGTTACACATTCTTTGTGAAAGATAAAAGGTTTGGAAGATGCTGCAGTAAGAAGTCTGGTTGAGTTGATGCGGTGCATCTTGTAGATAGTACATGCCAGAGGCATTTGCACTGGTGGCAAAGGAAGTGAATGGGATATCAATAAAGCAGGTTTCTTTGTCCTAGACCCTATTGGTTTTGAGGGTTGTTAGATCTACACTTGTTCAAGTAGGTGAGGTGTTCCATCACATTCTGAACTTTTGGTGAATTGCAAGGTGAGTTATTCATTAAACAATACTCAGCAGCAGATCTGCTCCCATAACCACAGTATTTATGTAGTAGGTCCAGTAGAGTTTTTAGTCAGTTGTAAACCTGCAGGACATGAATGTGAGATATTGAATGTTAAAGGAAGGTAGTGAGCATTTCTGCTGTTATATGATGTGTGGCATGAGTTTTAAGTTGTCACTGAATAATCCAAAATTGAATTTTATAGAGATCTTGATGAATGTGGGTATGCTTCATTGTCTGAGAAGTTGCAATTGAACTGAACAGTATAATCATCCATAATGCCCACTCTGATCTTATGATAGAAGAAAGATGATTGACGAAGCAGCTGAAGAAGCTTGGGCCTTGGACACTACCCTGAGGCACTTGGGCTCATGTGGCACAGTTGCAGTGTCCACCTCTGAGCTAGGGGCCTGGGTTAAGTCTCTCCTGCTGAAGAGGGTGTTTATTTAAGTCTATAAACAGGCTGATTAGTGAATATTTATCCTGAGACATTCTTGCACCCATGATCTGTGCCTGAGATGATTGGTCTCTGACAGTCACAGTATCCTTCATTAGTGTTAGGTAGAAGTTCCCCCACTGGTTTCCATGGGTTTTAATTTTACAGGGCTCCCTAATGCCACACTCTGTCAAATGTTGTCTTGATATCAAGGGCAGTCACTCTTTCTTCACCTTGTTTGTGTATGTTTGGATCAAGGCTGTAATGAGACCTGGAGCTGAGTTATTCTGGTGTAACCTAAACTGAATACCAGCGAGCCTTCGCCAACAAATGAGATGTTGGCGAGTAGTCATTGGCCAAATTGAATTTGCCTTGATTTTTGTGGACAGAAGTAATTTTCCACTCTGCTGCTTTAATACCAGTATTGGACTGTAACTATACTGAAACTGCTTGATTAGAGGTACAGCTAGTACTGACCATGTATTCTACACTACACTCTAGATGATGTCATGGCTTGTTGCTTTTTAGGTATTCAGCATGTTAAGCCATTTTGTAATGTCACTGAATGAACAGAATTGACTAATGACCGTCTGTGGACCTGGGGAATGCCAAAATGGATAATTTGTTCGGCATCTCTTGGTTGCATCTGTCTGCTTTATGTACAGCTGCTTTGTGAAAGATATGGAACAAGCATTTATTAGATTAAGTTTACAATTTCAGATTATCCCTATGGAATAGAGAATTGGTTCTTTTTGGGTATTTTGATAGAAGAAGTAATGTTTGCTTAAATGCTTGTGGATCCTTCTTGGCTCTGTTCTCCATTCACCTGAGTAAGCAGATGAAGTTTTGATTTGTGGTTCCATCTGAAAGGTGGCTGGCAGGACTGTATTCCGCAAGTATTTCCTGGAGTATCAGTGTTGGTATTGCATTCACCTCTTTGAAGCAGGACTTGAATCTGCAACCTGCTTACTCATACAAAGACACTGTAGTTGTACTCTGATCCTACTCACAAAGCAAACATTACAACAGTGACTGGACTTGCAGAATTGGCTTGTATTGGCTTTGCAGACATGCTAAGAATGTGAAAGGCTCTATATCAGTGCTTTTCCATTTTCCTTTCCAATCTGACTTTGTTTTAACTTTCTGCAGCCCCACAGCAAGAGAGCAGGTGAGGGTGGAGAGTGGATGGTCAGGAGTGAGTTGAGTGCAGTAAGGGCGTTGCTGTACTATTGAAGGTCTTTGCCTGGATGGATGCCCGGTGACTAAAAGAAGATTTCTCAGCCTGCTCCATGTTACCACTGCCTCCCTTCCTGAGCCTTCCACTCATTCACTCTGCCTCTCACCGTTTCCCTCCCTTTTGACTTGTTACTTCCCATTCCTGAACTGTTGATGCCAAATTGACAACAAGAGGGGGAAGTGTGAGCAAGACGCAAGAAAGACAAGTGATCTGAGCATCACATGGTGAATACATGTTGGGATCCAACCCACTGACAGCAAAACAGAGGCTGTCTCCAACAAGTCTTATAATAACTAGCCAGACACAAAGTGACTGTAAAAGTTCTCTTGGACCCTAGTTTTTTTTTCTCCAAAGCAGCAATGACCACTATGGTCCGGTAGCTGATCAGTTCTTGTCCCACAGCCCTACTGCAGCTTGTGGCTCTCGGTTTGTGTTGTGTTATTGCAAGCTTTTCTTTCTAGTGATTTTTGTATAAATGGAGTTGTTCGCAGTCTGCTTTAATTTGCTTAGAAGTACTCATGCTTTGAACTGAAGAGTAACTTGCAAATTTGCTTTTAATGACAGGAGGAGATGACCGTCGTGTCTTGTTGTGGCATGTTGATAAAGCTATTCATTCAAAAGCTAAACCTGTCCAACTAAAAGGCGAACATCTATCCAACATATTCTGTTTAGCATTTGACAGCACAAATACCCATCTCTTTTCAGGAGGTAAGAAATCTTGCATCCTATAAACATGTTACATTACTTCAACTTTGATTTCTTTGAACACTAAATGATACATAGCTTTTGCTAACTTTATAATTTACATACCCTATTAAATTGATGTCCAACAGTTCAGTATTTCCACAAGCAGCTATGTTTAAATTTTAGTTTGAAATTATTAAAATGGGTTGCACAATGTGGATTTGTTTGTTTGTTTTTCCTTTTGATATGTGGATATAATTTAATGGAATGATTGTGCAAATGATTGCATAAATGCTGCTTAAACTTTGGAATGGAGCTTTCTGAACAAACAAGCAGCTGACTTGTGTTAAGCAATATACTGAAAACTGTGTTAATCAGAACAGTAATAGCAAACTGCACTTTTCATTAAAATTTGAACAGGCTGTACAGATAATTAAACCTAATTCTTAACTCACTTGTCCGTTGCTGCAGTGGATGAAGGAAGTCTTTTTCAGACCAATAACTTAATCAACTAACTTACTTTGAAGTTGCCAGGCAGACACCTAAGTGCTCAGTGCCGCTATTTTCCAAGGATGGACACTATAGCTTCAGCTTTATTTACAAGTCAGTGTTTTATAAATCTGAAAATGAAGTTATACAGTGTTCTGGTCAGGAATAACATTGCATCCAATTCTGGTTAACAAAGTATCAAAAGCCCCATACTTTAAAACATAATTCTCTAACTGAAATAACCACACAGAGGCCAATATCCCATCACCAAGTCACCTTTGTGCACAGTAGACTGGCTGTAGCCAGCCAGATTGGAGTCAGAGCGTGAAATGAGGAGATTCTGAATCCCCTGTTTATACCGCTCAGCCAGGGCTCCCTGATTAGCCTAGGTTAACAACCTCAAGCAAGGATCTCATAGTCAGTAAGATCTGCCTGGCTCCAATCACCACACTATCTCAAGCCCAATGTTCCTCCTTTTACAGTGATGCCATGTTATGTTATAGTACTCTGTCAAAGTCTAGGAGTCTGTGTAGTCTGAGGACTAACTAGGTTCCATTAGCCCTCATCAGAACTCGTTAATATCAAGTACCAAACCCAACTGGTGGTACTAATGTGACATTTTGCTGTGTGTTCCTATTCTTAAAATGTAAGGGATAAAAATTTAATGAATTAATGTGGAGGCTACTGCTGTTGCAATTTTCAATCTTCAAAGTGCTAATGAGAACCTAAATAATAGAAATGGAACTTGTCTTACTCATCACTATAAGTCAGTGGGCTTGATGCTATTCCAAACACTCCTATATTGTTTAAAAATGGTGAATTATCTGATTTGCCACACATAAGGCCATGGGAAACCTGACTTTTTAAGAACAATTCTCATTCTCATTAGGGCGACACGGTGGCTCAGCGGTTAGCACTGCTGCCTCACAGCGCCAGGGACCCGGGTTCAATTCCAGCCGAGGGCGACTGTCTGTGTGGAGTTTGCATATTCTCTTCGTGTCTGCATGAGTTTCCTCTGGATGCTCCGGTTTCCTCCCGCAGTCCAGAAATGTGCAGGTTGAGTGGATTAGCCATGCTGAATTGCCCACAGTGTCTGGGGATGTGTAGGTTAGGTGGGTTATAGGAGTATGGGTCCGGGTGGGATGCACCAGGGGTCAGTGTGGACTTGTTGGGCCGAAGAGCCACACTGTAGGGATTCTATGATCTTAAATATTACATTTTTGATCTTTATACCTTGAATTTCATTAATATTGTTTTTTATTTAATGAGGCAAAAAAGCTGTTTCATTTGAAAGAAATCTGTAAATAACGCTGTCTTCGGTTTGCACTGAAAATACCCATGCACATTTGTAAAGCCAACAAATTGCTATTAAACAGGATTTTAGCTGTAGTTCTTCGTTACTCTCAACAATTGCAGAAGGCATAGCTGGGTTTGAAGTGCCCCTTATTTGTAAGGCCAACACAATTTAGTCTTTTTCTGTGTTGACTTTTCTACACTCACTTTATTTTTAGCATGTTTTTAACTCAATATGTGCTGCATCAGTTCAACGGATAATCTCCGTAGCTGTTTGTTATACTTCTACCAGGGTATTAAAATTTGTTTCCTCCAATTTCTTAATAGAACACTTAATAAATTAGGTTTTCTAGATTTCTTTTCCTATGATAATGGTTGATTATTTCACAACTAGAGCCAGGCAGCTATTTTGATATTGAGCCTGCCAGTTCATAGAAACCCTACAGTGTGGAAGCAGGCTATTCGGCCCATCGAGTCCACACCGATCCTCTGAAGAGCATCACACCCAGACTACCCTGTTACCTTCCATTCCCACTGGCTTATCCACACAGCCTATCCCTGGACACTATGGGTAGCATGATCAATCCACTTACACTACACATCTTTGGACTGTGGGAGGAAACCGGAGCATCCAGAGGAAATCCATGCAGACACGGGGAAAATGTGCAAACTTCACAGATTATCATCTGAGGCTGGAATCGAACCCAGGTCCCTGGCGCTGTGAGGCAGTAGCGCTAACCGCTGAGCCACCATGCCACTCTTTGTTCTCCTTTGTAAAGGTCTGCAAAAAAGTGTGAAGCTGCAGTGTGGTAATGTTCTTTGTGTGACTGTGTGTATGTGTGTACGTGCCCATCATTCTGCTGCGGAGAAGTAATGTTGATAAACAGCCAAAAATTGAAACAATTAGCAATTGTTGACTTGTACCTTCATGCTTTTGAGCTATGAAATGTAGTTCCATGGTAAAGCAAAATGAGAAGAAGCATGGATAGCCAGGTTCATACAGTTTCCATGAAAAATAAAGCCAAAATGTTGAAAAAGATGTCAGACAGCACATTTAATTAATGAGTCTGTCTTATTCAAGGATCAGATTTCGGCATGAATACATCACCCACTGGTGGACAAGCTTTCCCCTAAAAAGGTTTAAATTATATAGTTATCATTTGGTAAGATTTATTGCCATGAAGTCCTGTGTTCAATCAATTATTGCATCCGTACAGCAAGGTAATATTGAACTAAGCAATCCGTTTTGCTGTCCATTGTTTTATGGAGTGCTTCATCTTTGAGGTGGCTACATAAACAAGAGGCAGAAAAAGCATCAAATATTTAAATCCCTTCTGACCCTGCAGTTACTAACTATCTGCTTTATTGACCTTTTTTTTGTAGACATGATAAATTTAAAGCGAATATTAATTTTAAAATGTCAGCAGGACTGATTTTTGTTTGTTATGCCAGTCTTCTGATTTTTAATCTTTGACGTGTCCATAGTGTGCACCCCACTGTTTTGGAAAACGGGTTTTGTAGCTGGAATGTAGACTTGAAACAGACAATTAACAGTTAAATTAAACCAAGCTACATGGTGAAGTATGAGAGAAGATACAAACTCTTGACTGATGGCAGGTTAATTCCCAGAAAGCAGCAATGCAGACTTCTGTTCCATAGTTGTCAACTTGGTATACAATCAATTGCTATAAATTTTTGAAATTGACATCGAATAAACTCAAAGTTACAACACCTTAGAGAGTACTGCAACAAAGGACAAATCCCCACCCAAAGGAAGCTTACAAATTCAAACTAAATTGTGGTTTTGTAGGCTGATGAAGCCCTCCAGCCCCTGCATTGCCCATCGGTCTCAGAAGGCTCAAGGCAAACCAATGGACACTGTTCCTCCCAGCCTCTTTACACTCTTCTGAAATTAACAACTAAGCTAACTGAACTGTCATGAACAAATTAACCCAGATCAACAAGCCCAGCAAAGGAGCATTACAATGAAAGACAAAGCCTCCACTGAAAATTAAGATTTGGGTTTGTACACTAAGTGCCCAACAGTCATGGAGGCCTTAAGTATAGCAGTTGACAGCTCTCCCCAACCTCTTCATACCATTTTTAAATAACTAATTAATTTAGTGCATCAATAAAAGACCAAATTAAACAAGTCTTAACAGATGGCTTCCCATAAAGAGAATTCTAATTCAGGTCAAACTATACAGCAAATTTATAAAAATTAAAATTTGGTTTTGAGACTGGCTGTGAAAGGTTTCAAGCATACCAGTGAGCTCTGCATGTACCTCCATTATCTCTTTATAAATGTTTCCAGGTATTTTCTAATCAACATTTCAAAGATGATATTGCACACTTTGAAGCAGCTCGAACTTGAACCTGGTTTCTTGGCCTAGAGGTAGGGATGCTACCTCTGCACCAAACAAGCAGTGTAACTGTTTTTAGTCCTTACTGAAAATAATATCCATCACTCATGGCTTTAACTACATAATGACTACACAATCATTAACATTTTTAGTGTTTATATAGGTGATAAATCATGTCTTTTCAGTGAAGCCTAATTACATCTCCTGTAGGTGGGCTGTGACTAGTACAGAGAAATTCTGATACAAATTCTAAACATATTTTCACATCATATTAATATATACATCTGTGTATAAACAGTTTTGACAACGGGGAGTTTGGGTGATGTGTTCCACTCTCAAATATCCTCTCAATCTTATTTCCTATCGCACCCTCCATCATTTGACACTTGTGTCCCATCAATTACTTCACACCCAGAACATCGATTTCGGGAAACCATTTCGCATCTTCGGCTCATAGGTCAGTGCTAACGTATTGTGTTTAGTGATTGCTTTACCCTTCATTAGGTAGGGTGGCCTTCATTAATGGCCACCTTCATTATCTATTCTCAAATTGTGGAAGGCTAGATTTTTCATTTTTCCATATCGGATTTGATGGCCGGCTATACATTGTGCAGACAGCTCCAAGAAGCAGAGGTTTTTCTAAGTTGATTTTTTTTGTGTCACAAGACATGCACGTTACTGCTCGTTTACAGATTGCTCCTTTAAAAGGTCTGGATGCCCTGCTTTCGAGTGGTAGGTGCAAAGTTTGCATAGCTAGTACAAGCGCTTCAATATTGATTACTTTGGTATTTTCACTGTATTGTTACAGCACAGAAGGAGGCCTTTTGTATCAGAAGGAAAAATTTATTTTTCAATTGCCCTGGAGTGGTCTGAATTTGC